ATCGTTTTTGACTATCACCATTGAGACGGATGTCGAAAGATGTAAATCCTGATCGTTTTGACTATCACCATTGAGACGGATGTCGAAAGATGTAAATCCTGATCGTTTTTGAGTATCACCATTGAGACGGATGTCGAAAGATTTAAATCCTGATCGTTTTTGGTTATCACCATTGAGACGGATGTCGAAAGATTTAAATCCTGATCGTTTTTGGTTATCACCATTGAGACGGATGTCGAAAGATTTAAATCCTGATCGTTTTTGGTTATCACCATTGAGACGGATGTCGAAAGATTTAAATCCTGATCGTTTTTGACTATCACCATTGAGACGGATCTCGAAAGATTTAAATCCTGATCGTTTTTGACTATCACCATTGAGACGGATCTCGAAAGATTTAAATCCTGATCGTTTTTGGTTATCACCCAATCCGTGATGTTCGAATTCTTTTACCTTCATTTAGCTATTGGTCAGCTATCTGTCAATCAGTCAGGTAAATGGAGCCTGTTTAGCATGAACACCACAACAGACAAGATAATCACAGACAGAGTCAACTCCGCATCCCACAGCATCTTTCTCACAGGATTTGAACTAATTGCATTGGTCGTTAGCTTTACAGTAGAAATGGCGGCTGTTTATCCCTGTAAATTAAGGCTATATCAAACCTAGGCTGTGAAAGAGTGTATCCAATCTTATCGGACGTTTTTCAAAATTTGAAAATTTGATATAAATATCCATTACTACAGAAAATTATGTTACTTAATACAGTTCTTGTTCAAAATTCATATCAGTACTAGGTTAAGTGTTCTCAGAAATAACAATGTTTTAATTTCTTCATAAGCATCAAACTATAAAAATAAAAAATATATATATAGATAAAACTGAAATAAAACTAGAAATACAGACCACAAGTACACACACACAAGCTGAAATACCCGTCAACTGACGAGGAGTGTTTAAACTAATTAAAACAATGTAAGTTTAACAGCAATCATATATTTCAAAGTAATAACTTGAACATAAACTTTATCTCAACATTTTAAGATTATAACAAAGCTTCTTCATAAACAACATTTGCAATTTGCTTTCCATCTACCAACAGATAAAGATTTTGAAGTGATGCCACCCTTGAACACCCTACACCTTATTGACGTGGTTGTTTGAGAAACAATCCAGCAACTTTCATACTTTGACCTTAAATCCCTTTACAATATTCAACATTATCAAACATGTGATCTTGCCAATATTGTTTGAGATTTACTCAATAGGCTGGGAGTAATTAACCAACAGGCTTTACAAAATAGAAATAGGGTTAAGTTCAATTTTGACCCTCTTAGTTCATAGTTTCTACATACAAATTTTGGTTGAGATTAGCTCAATATGCTCGGAGGAGTAGGGTGCAAACAAACATATAGATACACTCCTATTAAAAACCTTAGGCAGATTTCTCGAAGTGCTACAGCCTAAGAGAAATAAAAGAACCCACATAGTAAAAATAAAAATAGTGAATGTTGGATTAATGTCTAGCGCTTGGCTGAGTGAGTGACTGTTATCTTGCATATAAATTGCATGGGAACCATACTTTTCGTTATGTTATCAAAGTGACATATGAGCCCGGATCAATACCGAAAACTCAAGAGTGGAGGCCGAAAAACATATTAACGACGAAACATTTCTGCTGTATATTGTCATTAATCAACTGTCACCTACTTCTCTGGTACTTGTTTCTAGTTTCGATCAGTTTGAACACATATGTTTCCTTTCAAGTGTTTTTTACGCTACAGTAGATTTTGACTTTTAATATTTCAGACTCGTTGTTCGATATCTAAGAACCTGACTATTTGTCGACTTGAACAAAAAATAAATAAAAAGATGGACGTCCTTTTATAAACTATATGATCTCTTTCTTCTATAAAAAAAAATCCATCCCAAATTTGTCTTACGTTGCTGTTTACATGAAAGAGTCGAACTGTCAAAGTCGTCGTCTACAGATCCGGTTTAAACATACACTTCCTGGCTAGTTTTACCCTCAGAACATTGAATTATTTAACATCTTCACCAAACTACATTTCTTGGACGTTGTCCAAATACACTTTTTCGTGTATGTGATGAAACATATATATGTTTGTTTTTTAAAAGTGTGAGGGCTTCAACTTTCGAAGGTTAAGATAAAGTAATTATTTAACCACATTCAATTAAAGTTCTCAGTTCAGTCGAATAGATTCTTCAGTTTATATACATAAAGAGCTTCACATCTGGCTTGTTCGATTTAGCAGAAAGCTTTATTATCTTGGTAATGTCACGCACAGGCTTAAATATAATACTTTACATGTAATAAAGATTTCCAACAACAGGCACGAAATATTGTTCCTTTTTACTGGAATAAGGAAACATTAAGCAGGGTAAATCTTAGTGAAAATACATCCATCTAAGGCACATCCTAATTTCAGAAGGTATGCTTTGCTGAAGTGTTAACTGTTGTTGAATAATGTTCGAGTGAGGTGTCGATCCTGTATATACAATGAAAGAGAATTCATTCAATAATTTGAAGTTGTTTTGCAATTTAAGTATTCAACTTCAGTTACCACCATACAGTATTCAACTTCAGCCACCTTATTCAACTTCAGCTGCCACCATACAGTATTCAACTTCAGCTGCCACCATACAGTATTCAACTTCAGCTACCTTATTCAACTTCAGTTACGACCAGGAATTGGAAGTTTATTTTTTTTAATTAAACTTTGATGAATTTGTCAAATCTATCGATACCACTATACTGGAAAGATATTTTCAAGATCTGTTTCACAACAAAATATTTTTAACCTACAACTGACGTCACAAGTGTAATACGTTCTTTAGATGTACTACACCGCTTTACATAAAAGTTTACAAAACATTAGAATGTAAAGGTTCGTGGAATCTTTTTAACCTATTAAAAAGTTTACAAATTCTAGAATGTTTACTGATCTAATAAACAAAACTATACATATATAAGGATCTCAGGAACTTTGTTTACGTTTCATGCTCGTACAGTAGTTGTCATACGATGTTTTAATTTTCTTTGATCTTATTGAATATATTAAATTTTTTTATTGTATATCAAATATGTCATTATTTCTCCAGATAGAGATTTAATTGGTCAAAGCTATGAACTGCCAGAATTTTGCCTTTCATTTATCCATTTTTCCGATTACCATTTTTTTTTTTCACTTTGACGCTCATACGTCAAAGTTTGCCTAATTGACTAACCAGCTTATCGATCGATGAACACACAAGTGAAGCGTAATGACATTTTTATAATGATATGGTTAACGTATAGGAGCAGAACCATAGTTCATCAACATGATTTTGTTCATCCACTAATGGTTTGTTTTGTTGTAAATGCTACTTCTGTTACAAAAGTTGTTGTTTTTTTTCTGTAATAAATACTTATATATATATATTAATTTCTTATTTTAGTCTTGCGGTTTTTTTTTAATTATAGTACACTCTCTGCGTGAGTCGATAATTAAGATTACCACAGTTTTGAAACGCTTTATGCGATGACATACAATCTTTTAAAGAGACAGAATCTCTGTGGAAGCGTCAGTTTATTGCTTTGAATGCTAAATATCTAGCGTGGTGCTCAAACTCGAAGTAATTATAAAATAAACTTTCCAGTCATTTCCATCTGTGTATTTTAATGATTTATGGCGTCCTATATTCTGATATTAAACATTACCACAAAGTAACAACCAGAAAGTGATGAATTTGTGACAAAAATGCGATATTGTTATATGATCCTGACTGACAATTCTCAGAACACAGATTCCTCAACATTCACATGTCTTCCATGTTTGTTTTTTTTTCCCTGAAAAATATGGTTGCCATTTAAGAAAGCAATCACAGATGGCGCTCTACAATTTTGTTGTAATGGACATCTTTGTCCTGAACAATCTGTTTTTGCCTTAATCATGGTTAGTGATAGACGTAAATCACGTTTACATTATAGTCTGTACCGTATTATTCTTTATTGTATATTCATTTTTGTAACTTAACTAATTTAGTTAATCTAAAACACGTGTAGCGACGTAAGTTTTTCATCTCACATTATAATTATGAAATATATACACCGATTGTAGATCGAAAAAAACATTATAAGGATCAATAACACGACCAAATAGGAAAAATATTCATAAAGTTGCATCAATACGTAAGATTTGATTCAAGGTTTATTTATATCTTTGTTCAAAGCTATAAAGACATGGGTTATCTGCGTATAGGAATCCGTGATTTTGAAATGATGGAGTAGAACGAAGACAACACCCACTGCCAACCCTTGGGATGTTTTTTGTCTGATCGAATATTAAGGTTTGACTGTCACTCTTATAGCACACCCACAGCCTCAAAGTACAGAGAACGTTTTTGCGGTAACGCTAACTTCTAGGCCCCGCCCAGCCCGTGGATATTTGTCACGTAAGTGACATTCAACATATGATTAAAGTATTCTTCTTAAAATATTACTTGTAAAAGCAAAAGCTTGTAAGAGGCTTGACTTAGCCTTAATATTCTAAATTTTAAGATTTCTTTTTTATTACTACCAAAATTGTAAATTTCGACTCACCACTTGTCACTTAGTTAAACCAGTTTGGGAGAACTTCACTCCAAATCAGTAACCGTGGCAAATCTATAAACGAAACTAGGCTTACGACAGTGATAGTCTGTAAGTTACGTGTGTAGGATCCGAGTTGTCTCTTAGTGACAACAGCGACTCTGTATTTATATACATTTACTATGTTGAGTGACGGACAGTTTGGACACCATACACCACTCTGAAATTTGCCCCATTCCTGTCATTCCAACTGGTTAGGAAACTAAAACAACTCATCAGAAGGCTTGGTCAAGAAGAAAAATGGAACACAAACACTTCAGCTCTTCTCTATACCCTTAATTCTATTGCATTTTTAAGTTTAAAACTATCTTTACTCGAAACTTCCATACATATGTAAAGGCTAGTCTGATCTTTAATGGATACGTCATTACTCAAAAAATGTGATCATGCTTTGTTTACTTCACAAACTTTTTCAGTTAAAATTTCACAATAAAAATAATGAGATTTTTTAGTTAGTTATTCATATCGAATCACAAAGTCGAATCACTTACAGTTACTCCAATAACACAGGCCTGTGAACTTAAACCTTATAAAAGTTGTTTTGGTTTTAATAAAGGATTTTCCATAACTCGGTACGCAGATTTCGAAAATAATATTCATTTTTTTCTATCATGTAAGGATTTTTTTACAAATCGGAAAGAAACAAAAAACTCTTAATTCGTTTACCATAATGAACTTTTTTTTGTTATTATGTTTGTTAACAAAAATACATGCAAACTGAAGAAAAGGGAAGAACATTGATATCAAACAAATATGCATCCTCATTCATCCTGATTTTTTTTGTTTGAAGTCTACGTCTTTTAGTCTCAAAACTACGTGTTGTGGTCTTTCTTTTATGCATTGCGTTATGACGTTATGTGACGTACGTGTTTGTTTGTTTTGAGTTTCGCGCAAAGCTACACGAGGGCTATCTATGCCAGCCGTCCCTAATTTAGCAGTGTAAGACTAGAGGGAAGGCATGCTAGTCATCACCACCCACCGCCAACTCTTGAGCTACTCGTTTACCAACGAATAGTGGGATTGACCGTCACATTATAACGTCCCCACGGCTGAAAGGGCGAGCATGTTTGGTGTGACGAGGATTCGAATCCGCGACCCTTAGATTGCGAGTCGAGCACCCTAGCCACCTGGCCATTCCGGGCCAGTGAAGTACGTGATGGAGAAAAATGGATGTCATTTTCGGATTCAGGGTACAGGAACATGTAGAAATTTCAAGACAATAAAACCAGCGCAGGCCTGTGTAATCACCGAAAAAATTACTCTCAGATAACGATCTTGTCAGACGTTGTTGCTTTTTCTTTGCTTGTTTTCTTAACGAGTTTACAAAAATAAAACTTGAAGTAAATTTTTTTATATCAAAATTCCGTTTTCAGTAATACTTACCATCCACTGTTAAAGTAGCTGTGTTTGATCTTTGACCTCCGTGAAGGTTCTTTGCTGAGCAGGTGTAGTCGCCTTCATCCAATAAGCCCACCCTTTTCAGCAAGAGGTCGCCACTATTGAGAATCTCGTAGTTAGCATGTCCGCTATGAAGTAATTGGCGCCCGTTCCGCTGCCATGTGATGTCTGGCTTAGGATCACCGCTGGATAGACACGTGAAAAGGACATTATCTCCGGCCATAATTGTCTTGTTGCTTGGACCTTCCATAATTATGGGCACTAAACACAAGATATATAAAAATCATTAATGAACTCTTCAGGCTTTTCACGGTGTTTGCAATCTGTTTCAAATTCTTGACAAATGGTAACTTTTTTTATTCGCTCCCCTAATCTCAAAACAAATATAAAAGCAGTGAGGTATTGGCTTAAAAGATTTTAACGAGAATTCTGTGTTGTGTATGAATATCATATTTTAGACACCTAAAAAAAAAACTCAACTCTTAAAATCACCGGAAACGTAGAACAGGAAGTTAAAAAAAATAATGAGCTAAGTTTATTGAATTTTTCTAGCAGATCTTTATAATTTTTCAACGAGTAAAAACGAGGAAACGTCAAGATAATTAGATTTTTTTTAATCAAACATTGGCGTTCCTCTCTCTCCAAAACCATCCAAATTAAGACGAAATTAACGAGTTACGAAAGAGCATATTTCCTGCGTCTTGACTATCAATCTAAAAAGAAAGCTTAGCAATTATTATTTGGATATCATCTCTCCTACAAGCTGTTGTCGCCCCTTCAAGTGTTCACTCACACGCTTGGCCACAACAAGGGAACTTTTCACTCTCTGAGCCCCCCCCCCCTCCCATTATGTGTTTGGAAAAAGCAAGGCATGCTAGAGTCTGCACGCGCACAACATATATGAAACTCCTACTTAAGGTTCATCGTTTTCGTTACATATGCTCGTGTAATTTCTTCAACACGTTTTTAAATAATGACGGTTTTCTTGTTCTGTCGTGAAGAAGACCTTTTCGCGTAACAAGGAATGAACTTGTTCAAAGAAAGAGGTTTTTTTGCCTTCCAGGATTTTCTTTTGTGTTTGTTTTTTTCTGGATTCTTCTCTTTTTTGGCATTACAAGAAGTTTCTATAGTCCAACAAAACAAACTTGTGTGTATTTATAAGAGTGGTAATAAAAAAAAAACAGAAGGAAATGATCTGTTACGAAAAAACGTTTTTGTGATGTATGCGTATTACCGCTCTTGATGGTGGAAGAAGGTGAATGTGTAGAGAAAAGGAACTTGTGCATATGGTACTGTAACCAAGGGAAAAAACTGTTGTGTTATAATTATATCTTTATGTCCGAAAAGATGAACTACGAGAGTCACAGGAACGGTAGTGTGAAGGGACGGAAGAATATAGTATGTTTATTATGTATATTACCTAGACTCTAGCGAGTTGGGAACTATATTAGGAAGAAGGTAATTACCTAGACTCTAGCGAGTTGGGAACTATATTAGGAAGAAGGTAATTACCTAGACTCTAGCGAGTTGGGAACTATATTAGGAAGAAGGTAATTACCTAGACTCTAGCCAGTTGGTAACTATATTAGGAAGAAGGTAATTACCTAGACTCTAGCCAGTTGGGAACTATATTAGGAAGAAGGTAATTATCTAGACTCTAGCGAATTGGGAACTATATTAGGAAGAAGGTAATTATCTAGACTCTAGCGAGTTGGGAACTATATTAGGAAGAAGGTAATTATCTAGACTCTAGCCAGTTGGGAACTATATTAGGAAGAAGGTAATTATCTAGACTCTAGCCAGTTGGGAACTATATTAGGAAGAAGGTAATTATCTAGACTCTAAGAAATTATTGTCCATTACCTGTTAAAAAACACATTAATAAGTGTATTGTGGAAAATCATAATATTTTACAAGAACTTTCTTATTCAAATATTTACATTTTGGTATTCTTGTAAAAAAAATTATTGTGAGGGTGGATGTTTTTACTGTCATAATTAATAACGTGTGTGAGGGTGGATGTTTTACTGTCATAACTAATAACGTGTGTGAGGGTGGATGTTTTTACTGTCATAACTAATAACGTGTGTGAGGGTGGATGTTTTTACTGTCATAACTAATAACGTGTGTGAGGGTGGATGTTTTACTGTCATAACTAATAACGTGTGTGAGGGTGGATGTTTTTACTGTCATAACTAATAACGTGTGTGAGGGTGGATGTTTTACTGTCAAAACATTGAAAGTCATTTAAAATCCATCAATGAAACGCGTGTATGTTCTATTATATTAATACAAGACTTTGGTTAAACATGTAGATTTTTAACTGGAATGGTTTTATTAAAGAAACCTTATTTATCGTATCAAAGTTAACATACAATGACAGTAAAACATCCACCCTCACACACGTTATTAGTAACACTTGAACAAGTGTTTTGTCAAACATTGAAAGTCATTTTATATCCATCATTGAAAGGCATATTCTGTTAAACACTTGAACAAGTGTTTTGTCTTTAACAGAATATGCCTTTCAATGATGGATATAAAATGACTTTCAATGTTTGACAAAACACTTGTTTAAGTGTTTAACAGTGCTTCAACAAATGACAAATACTAATGTTTAATAGACTGTTTTCAAAGTTTAACGAAAAACATGGTTAATAGCCTATTTGTTTTTAACGTTTAACAGAAAACTAATGTTTAGTAGACTATTTCTATAAACATTTAACAGACAACTATGTTTATCGGACTATTTGTTTCAGCGTTTAACACAAAATTAATGCTTGCAAATCACCAGCTTCAACGTCTGTAGAAAATTGCCTAACTTCTGACGGATCATGTGTTTGAAAATTAAACAGAAAACTGATTCCGATGTTCAAGACGTAATGTTTAAGTTTTTAATAGAACTTTGGTTTCAATCTTACACATAAGATGCGTTTCAACGTCCGATAGCAACAGCTGGTTGTACGTTTAACAGAATACGTCTCAACGTACAGCAAAAAAAAACGTACTATAGTTTAAATAATGTGTTTTAACGCTTAACAGAATTATACTTCAACTAAAAGAAAAAAAATGTCCTGACATTTAACTAAAGAATTGTTTTCAAAGTTAAACAGAACTCGAGTTTCAACACGGAACATAAAACTATTTCAACATTTAACAAAACACGCGTTTCAACGATCAGTGATGCGTGTTTCAAAGTTTAACAGAAACATGTTTAACAGAACAGAACAGATGTACATTCGTACATCAGCTTAAAAAAAAACCATGATTTGTCAGTTTCGTACATCAGCTTAAAAAAAATCCCATGATTTGTCAGTTTCGTACATCAGCTTAAAAAAAATCCCATGATTTGTCAGTTTCGTACATCAGCTTAGAAAAAAATCCCATGATTTGTCAGTTTCGTACATCAGCTTAGAAAAAATCCCATGATTTGTCAGTTTCGTACATCAGCTTAGAAAAAATCCCATGATT